TGACTTGTTTAACCCTTAGCGCTCCGTTCGCTCCAACAATTACGCAAAAAGAATAAAGAAATATCTAGTAATTCTATTTGGAAAACACGGCGTGCGGTGGAAGAGGATGAGTTTTGGGCTTTTATTGGAGTTATTATCAGTATGGGTACGATACCCATGGCGAATATGCAGGATTATTGGTCAGTTAAGGAGAATACTCGCATCCCTTTCTTTGGTAAAATATTTACAAGAAAGAGATTTATGCAGATATTCTGGATGCTGCCAGTGGCGTAGCGAGGGGAGGGGGCAAAAGGGTGTATGATGCCCCGGGCGCCGCTCGCAGAGGGGCACCAAATGGTCTCCAAACAAGATTTTCATCATATCACTTTATTCTTTTTCGGGGAAGGGGGGCGCCAAAAAAGTATTTTGCTCCGGGCGCCAGTTATGCTCGCTACTCCACTGGATGCTGCATTGAGCTGAGAAAATGTGCCGGAGTTGCTGGTGGGCAGTGGTACAAACACATGCGGAGCGCTAAGGGTTAATACAGGTCACTGGAGTACATGCTGCAACCACTTACCTTTCCTAATGTTTTTTTGGTCTATCACTGACGTTTGCACCTCTCATCGGAATAACTGTCCTCGATATGATGAGTAATGCCGAGAATACAAGTACTCCTTGCGGGATGTTACAGTTCTTCGGATATTCCATTACACCGTACCGGAAATTTCCGTTTTCGGCTATAATTCCAGGAACTAAAAATTATGCTCTTTCTGTAACTGTGATATCATGAGCTATGATTTGGTGGAAAGATTTAAGTTCTTCATCCTTAACTGCGCATTTAAAGTAATTCGACGAAAAATGCCGTTTCGAGACTAACAGCCCCTCTGGGCTAACGCTCATTTGGGCTAAAAAGGAAACCAATACAGTATATATTTTAAAGCTGTTATTAAATTAATTTAGACATGTGCATCACGTGTATATTAGATGGCAATAAAAAATAATTTATTTTAACTGAACAAATATGTTATACACATTCATCTCGATAATATGTCACCAGATATTTCCTTGCAAATAAATAGATTTTCAGCAATATGTCTGCAATAATACCTGATAAATAAACAACTTATAAATATAGGGAGGTTATAAATGAATTGTGTGGTTTTAAAAATTAATAATAAATCGTTGTATAAACTTACCCCGGTATAAAACCTATACCGTTAAACATTGTTGGAAACTGTCCAAGTTTCCCATATGCTACCTGCTGTTTGTCATGCTTACTGCGCAGCCGCAGCGTCAGTTTCCGAGGTGTCACTGCAACAGGAAAGGGCTTTGTGCATGCTCAGTTTAGAGGTGTCCACATTTGTGGTTCCGTGCACTTTTTCTGTGCGATGCCCCGCGAGGAAGTGCACGGCCTATTTTTCTTCCAATATGAAGCTGTGATCGGTGACTCATTTCTAGACATGTTGGGAACCTGATTGTTACTCTAGCTGAACACCAATTAAGATGATTATATTTTGCAAATGGACTAAGCCTCGCCCCATTTTCATAGGAATTAATGAGAGCTTGTTAATCGTGTTCTTCACCAGCGGTGATTTGGACTGGCTGTAAGAGCAGACCACAACCTTCTCCCCTTTGCCAAATTTAACGCTTTTTGGGGGTGTTGTTAAAGGCCGAGTTTATTTACCGCCAAAGCCTGTGTCCCTTGAGGAAGTTTCTGGTCGGATAAAGCATGCACTGCAGACCGTCACGGCGGACATGTCATACCGAGTATAGGAAGAATTTGGTTATCATGTAGATGTGTGTCGTGTGACCAATAATGCACATTGTGAAGGATTGAGATTAATGCATCAAAAATGTGAACAGTTTCCCGCAGATTATGCTGTAAGGTTTTCCCATATAAAGAAATACATCGCTTTATTATTAATTTTGAAAACCGCACCATTCATTTATAAACACCCTGTACAGTACAACCCTGATTATCCAAGCTAATATGGGCAAGGACTAACTCGGATAATACGCACTGATTGAAACAAAATTTTAATATTACAGTCTTATTGTACATACTGTAGGGAGATAGCACACATGATTCACACAAGTACATAGCGATATTAAATATATGTAGGTTCAAATGCCCAGATATACACGTAGAACTAAATATGATACACATTATAAACTTGAAAGCTTGTAATACAGAAGGGATGCTATCTAATATATATAGCATATCACACTGTTACTGATTTAAAAAAAAAAAAAAAAAAACTGTTACCGAGAGCCTTCTGTATCATTCGGCTAATCTCGTTTCTTGCCGTCGTATCGCGTAGATTGTCGCAACATCATAATGTCAGTTAGTGATGCCTCGTCTTGCTGTTCAGCATACAGCAGTGTCTTTTTTATCGCATTCAATTGCCTATGTGACTGATTGCGTTCAACCGCCTGATGAACTGTGTGACGCGTCGTCTTGCTGTTCAGCATACAGCAGTGTATTTTCGGTCACGTTCAACCGCCCGTGTGACTGATCTTGGTTTGAATAATTTCCCTGTCTTTGCATAAGAACTTTCATTAAGCATAACTTTATTTAAAAGAGCCTCAACACACAGTTCAAATTGCACATCATTTTGCATCTCATCATTCACACTGCCTCTGTAATTTCTAGTTGATCTAAGATAGCCAGTAGATTGTTTCACATTGTTCCACGATTCTCCCCTGCAACAAATGACACCTTTCAAATTAACTTGTTTTAGACTTTCAACAACTGTTTCATTATTTTCTAGATCGCATATTATTATTAATAAATGCTTCAATAGGCTGCGCCAATATTTTAGTTTTAGGTTTTCTAAAACACAGTGTAACACTAGGCGGTAAAAAAATAGCCCAAATCTCTCCACTAAACAGCTGAAGCGGTGTGAAAACTAAAAACCAAATGATTTTTCACACAAAGCCAGAAAGAATCAAAGCTGCAGAGCTCAAACGTGATAAGATGGGCTTTTTATCTTTACGATTTGAATTACTGCCAACACAAGGTAAACAATTTACAAGTCTACAAATTGTTTACCATTTGAGTGAGGCTATTTACGACTTTTTTTTTAATTACATTGGGCTTGGATAACGCAGAATCTCGGTTAATCAGGATACTGTATTAGTAAAAAAAATAATAATACATTGTTCTTTTGTTACTACAAAAACCACAGTTTAGACATATTGTTTTTGATTTTAAAACACAGTATGTTACACACAGAGATAAGAGCAGAGCCCAGGCAGCAGACCAATTCAGCAAAAACAGATCAAAGACCAAACTATTTAAGTTACACAGGCACTTGTGGGCTCCTCCATGCAAAATATTCTTATTTTGCGATATCCAGCACAACTGCAGTTACTTCCTATCAGCCTTTTAATCAAGTAATTTTTTTTATAGGATTCTTATTCTCCAGGACAAAATGTCACTATTCCCTGCCTTTTCAGCCATATAATCTTTCATTAAAATACAACAAATACTAATGTTTGTGCAAACTGCAACACCATGAAGGAATTAAGCAAATTGAACTAAACTTACAGGAAATATAAAGTGAGGTAAGGCATGCAAATGATTAGAATTAAAAAGCGATTGTGCATGCGTAGAATGAGAAACGGCCGCTAGTTCCATGTATATAAATACTGCACAAACGCCTGGCATCATGGTGCGGGAAGCTATTGAGTATAACTGCCGATCCCGTCTAGTGCAGACTGCGGGCAACTCAACAGTGATCGCTACATAAGGGAAGTTGTGCTACGTGGAGCCATTAAGTTCTTCCCATTCTTTGATGCAATCCGGGCGCTTATTTCAGTAGAATAATGCCCATGCACGTTTCTCCGACTTCCTTAGGGCACAACAGGTTTTGCTTCTCCCAGGGCTTGCTTATTCCCCAGATATGTCATCCATCAAGCATATTTGGGATTTCATCATTCGGCACCTCGCTCATAAAGTTGATCAGGGGCACACTAAGGGAAATGGCTTGCATATAGCCTCCTGAGAAATGGCACTGCATATAGCTTCGATTTCAGGCCAAAACTTTGGCCTCAAGTCGAAGCTATATGCAATGCCATTTCCCAGGATTACATTCAAAAACTGTATGCTTCAATGGCAGGACATGTATGGGTTCTCATCGCACAGCATGGCAGATACACAAAGTACCGATTTCTGACGTTTGTTTTGCTTTTTTGACTTGTAAATTTGATTCTTTATTTGTACCACTATCAATAATATGTGGATTACATTTCATTCATTTCAGACAATTCCTTCATGGTATTGCATTTTTCACACACATTAGTATAAATTATATGCATTTTCCAGTTATGCATCAAGCCTATTGTTTCCATTTAATGCAGATACTTGCATATCTAATATACTTTAGTAGCATTACAATAAAATGTTTTTTTACCACTGCACAGAAATACGGAAAATTTATCTGAGAAATAAATTTTGAAAGCACAATGAACTTTTTCAAATTGATATTCTGTTAAAAGCTGTTTTTTCAAAAGTGATGGAAGATAACATGATTTGGTGTGACAGAACTTCATTACAAAATTTTAATGTGCTCAAATTTTTATGCAGCAAAAATATTTAATTTTACTTTATATATCCTTCACTATAAAAATTAATTTCATCATTTGTTTTAATATATTTCAAAGAACAATTCCTAATTTTTAATAATCAGCTAGCTCTTCAACCTACTGCTAAAAATATTAATTTAGGAAAGACATTTAAAATTCAGTTTGAAGTAGCATAAATTTAGAATTATGCCACTTCAAACTAAGTTTGAAAAATGGAACGTTTTGTTATAAAACTGAAAAATTAAAATAACAACTTCTGTTTTGGCACCTGAAACTTAGCCATTCAAATAAATACAAAATGATAAAAATTAAGACATTCTCAAAATTTTCAATCTTTTTACCCATTTAATGGCTTGTTTTAATCTTTAACTAGCCAGATGAGTAAGTAAAAATTCAACCTGAATATCTAACTACAAATTAAGGGAAAAAAAAACTTTATTCCACAGTTTTTTAATGTTATCCTTCCAAATTAAACAAAATATAACAAAACTAAAACTCAATGATTACTCATTCTTAAACTGCCAAACAAAATCAACTTAACATTAATATAAACAGAAAACTAAGCTTCTAATTTCAAATTAAAATATAATACATGCATAAAACTTTTCTGCATTAACAAAAATCTAACAATTAGATAATTAAAAATAACATATAAGGTTCTCTGAACTAAGCATCATCAACAGTATACCGATTTTTACATAAATAAGTCACCCACTCAAATGGTGCAAAATATTAACACCTCAGATATTATTCCACAATACAGAAACAACAGTAACATGATAAAATAGGTAATACAACTTTTAGCCCCTGCTTTTATGCTGAAGTTATATATTATTCTGATTACAACCATAATTATAGGAATCAGTTATCCAACTTGACCATATCAAAAGGCAAAACAGACTTTGATCACATGGATTTTATTTCACCAGGACAAAAAAAAAAAAAAACCAAGTGAAAATCAATACACACAAATTTCTATAAGACTGCTAATTCTTCTGAATTTAACAGAAATGAGTAATGAAAATGCCAGAGAAAAACTTTTTCCTTACAGTTGAGCATTTACAATGTATTATGTACATTCTAACCTTTACAGTTAGATTTATTTACTTTAAATTAAAACTTAAATAATTAAAATAATTCCCTGCAATAACAATTGGGAAAAGAAATACTTGTCCTTACTTGCACTAAGTATTTATTTCTTCAGTTTATTAATGTTTTAAATTAAACTATTAGGAACAAGTATCAAACATGTTTATTATATGAATAACAATGGCATAATTACAAAAAATTTTAACACTTAAAAGACGAGAAAACATGCGTGAATACACTCAGTACAAAAGTTCTTTATACAATATAAACAAAATATTTTGATTCCCTAATTTTTGTCATTTTTATTTATTCCAAAATGGTAACTTTCTTCAGTAAATTAAAAATAATTATCTGAGTATCTTTATAGTAATAATTACTTTATTTCAGTAAAATAATTATCTGAGTACTCTAGATAATCATTTTTATCTTTTATTTCTCAGGAATTGTAACTTTCTCTATTTAACACAAGCAAATATCTACATAACTAAAAACAGCTTCAGTCAACAAATAATAACTACGCTATAGTTACAGAACTGGTGATTTTTTTAAACAGGAATTACAATTCAAAACTTTGCTCTTAAATAACAGATTTTTCAATGCAGTGCACAGAGGATGCATTAATTAAGATAATGTTCAACAAAGAAAACCATACAAAGTATAACTGCTTCTTTTAGGATAAAAGTTTATCTTGTTTAAAATTGTATTCATGTTATGTTTAGGATGTAGCATGTAAAAAAATAATGAGCTTACAGATGTCATTCTGAAGTTATTATGGAAACATAATCCATCATTTTGAGGGGGGGAGGAATTATGACTACAAATGTTATTTTGACATTATCATGGAAATTTTAATTAAATCTAATATTTATAACCACAGTTTCATTTGGTGATAACTTTACTCAAACCTTTATGGAAGAAGAATGTGTTTGATTATTCTGATTATCCTTAAGACATCTACTATTCGTATACATAAAAATAAATGACCAGATAGTCATATACACCAGATCACCTGAATTTATTTTCCTGGATCCTAGTAGCATATTGCTGCAGTTCTTATTTCTTGTTCTCTCAAATGACTAATAAAGGCATCAATGAGAATTATATTATGAAGTGATACAGAGAAAAATTTAATAAGAAAAGGCTATTATTGAAGAAGGTGCCCACTCCACAAGTGTTCTGCTCTTATAAAGAAAAAACGAAAGATATTTTTTAAGCTTAAATTCTATATTTACTCACATATCCCCTTTTCCTACTAATTTTACTACTTAAAAATAGGGGGAGAATATGCAGTGTATAGAATTTTATCTTACATGCTAATTTAACATAAATGTTGGTTTTAAAAAAGTTTTTACAACAAAATAAGGTACCAAAGAAATTTTTTCATAACATCAAAACACAGCACCCATTTCAAATATATTATGTTATGATGAAAGTATAATATAAAGATGTTCATTCAGGACACTGTCAATGCAGGTACAGCTATTATATCTTTAATAGTTGTACATTAAGATGATAGTTCTTATCTACTCCAAATTATTAAGAAAGACAAACAATCTTAATTCTAAAGTAAGCTAACAGAAAATTGCATTAAAATTTGTCCTGAAACTATCTAAAAAAAATTACAGTTCTCTCTAATACATAAATGAAAGCATGAAGAAAAATGTAAAAAAATTAATCCACAGCAGTAACCAAAGAACTTAGTCAAAAAAGTCAAACAATGCCATCTTTCAAATACCATTCCATGAAACTTAAAAAATTAAAGGAGCATGTGACACTTCTCTTCATCCTAATTTTCAAGAAAATGGGTTAAAGGTAAGAGCAGAATCAGTACAAAGGGGTATAATGGTCCAATTAAGAATGTTCACAACATTAAGTTGCGATGCATTAAACAAGTAAATGCACAAAATAAATCATTACCTGCTTGAACAGCATATTCTAAATGCCACAACTATGAAAGTTCCCACTTATTAGCTATTTTAAACAGTCACAAAATCTGAGGATTTAGCCACTGAGAAGTTTTTGACCAGTAAAACTCAGCTATATTCTGAAAGAAAGAACACTAACAAATTTTTCCCATGTGGTTTATACATTAAGGTGACTGATAACAGCAATCTGTTAGTTAACAGTTGGGATGCATTTATGAGGTGGGAGGCCCATCTCATCACAATTTTGGGAGGCCCTCATCTTAAGATAGAGGGTATTTTAACAATTTTTCACACATTTATGATGTTATTCTTCAAATCTGAAAAGTGGTTTGTAGGCAACTTGTACCTTGAAACTGGAACTTCATAAAGTGACTTCAGTTCCCAGCAGTAAACCTTGTGGCTTACAATCAAATGAGAATTATAAATAATTCCAAAGAAATTGCTTCAAAATATAAAACATTGCTCGTATGAGCAAAATGAATGACAATCAAAAACACAAGTCTCTTTAAAGAAGTATTCCAACTACTAAACAAATACCTCTAAAGATGCATATAATTCAAACACTGTTAATAAACTTCAGCCTCACATTAGATATTATGAGCAGTAAATTTTTCAGATATAAATCATTTATAATTATTAATGTTAAAGATGTATTAAGATCTATTGTTTTAAATAATTTAATCTATTTCTGGACACCTAATATACATTCTAATCTGATGTCTCATCTTTCAGTTTTTTTAATTATCTTATCCTTGGCTCATATTCAGTCTAATTGCTATAATTAGGTAATAGCCTGAAGTCTGTTACTATAAATACAAATCTAGATTTAAATATATGTCACGATATTTTAGCTTCAAATTAAGTAAGTAAATTCCTTAATAACTTTTTACAAGCACTGCAATAAAGGAATGAGCAAATAGTTGGATTTTCTTCTGAGGGCAGAATACACTAATTCCCAATTTTTGCCTTTAAAGTTCAATTGTATAAATGCATATTATAAAAATAAAGCATATTTACCTTTTTATCACAGAGTTTTCAAGATCCCAAATTCATAATTTATATTTATTTAAACTAAAGAAAAACCATGTTTTGCAATTAATATTTCCTTTTATTACCCTAAACTTTTGAAAAAATAACTTAAAAACTAATGATGATAAAACTAAAGACTACCTTTAGTGATTCCTAGTACTAACTCTTAACACAGAATTGAATGAAACCTCCGTATCAAAAACTAATTATAGTGTCATTAGATAAAAAGTTTTATAATTAAGAAACACAGAAAGAAAAAATAAGATCAACAAGGACTTTTAACTAACTTGAAAGACACAAAAATCAGAGCAGTATCATTCTCAAGGAACTGAGACAGTTTCAAAAAGATTACATGCCATTTGAATATAATTATTTAAAAATCTTAGAAATTAAAAAAATTACATTTAACCTATTCATATGGAATTAATTCTAATTTTTTCATGCATATTTAACAAAAACTGAATATTTCTTAATCCTTACATTTGGTTTGAAGGTCATATTTTTTCATACATTCAAAATATTACAATTTTCAGACAATAAATTTAAAATCTGTAGTCATTTTTATTCAATTATAATTGAGTATTCTTTCAAAAATAAAATTGATAACAACAAATGTACTGATAAAAGGACTGTTTACCCTTCATTTCCCACTTAAAAATATTAACTTTGCTACTTTAAAATATTCAACAATATTATTATCAGATAAGAATACATGTATCATCCAAAACATTAAGAATCTGCACTATTTATAAAAATTCCTATGAAACATTAAAATGCATATCTGTATCTAGCAATCAAAGTAAATCGTCTTTAATACATACAAAACAACAATGAAAACCTGAAAAATTCTATTTAGAAAATTTTCCAGGCAATTTTCTTTTATATATACTGTTTGAAAAGTTATATGAGATTCATGTTATATGAGAAAAATTAATTTAATTATGTACGTTATCATGGAAGCATTTGAAAGTTAAAATCAGCAACTACATTAAATTCAAAATATCAAATGCTTATATGCCATACATACACCTTGCATGCTATTGGAGATGCATAAGAAGAAATTCCAACTCCTTAAAAGAATTGCGCAAAAATAACTGCTCTTTTCCAATAAGTCAAAGGAAATCTAGCATCATTGTTAATCTGATGTTACATTCAATTTAAATTAAATAGTTCTTTGAAATTACATTGATTTAACTTTAAGACTTTTCTATTAATTATATTGCAGCAGTTGAATGTCATTCATGTAAAAATGAAGCATTTTATTATATTGTAAAACCTTAATGAATAACTTAAATTTAGCTCATAAAATACTCAAGTATTCAACCCATTTTAAATGACTAAACCAGCTTATATATTTAAACATAATAAACTTTTATCCTACATTAAAATATACATCGGGTAGAAAAAAACTTTTTTTCTTTAAAACAAAACTTTCATTTTGCATGGAAAATGTATAAAATGATTTGATCATTTCCCTCTTTACTACATGTAAGAATTGCAAAATTTGAGGATTTCTGGGAAATGTATAAAATTGCTTGTAATTTCACCAGAAATAGACAAGTATAAAGTTTTTGTAAAATATTTATTACAATATATATCTTGAATAATATCTATACAAGCTCGCCAGTACATGTAACAAGAAAATAAACTATATAACTGGCATTTTTTAAAATAATACATGATTAATACACAAAAGAATCCAACCAGTTATGCTTAGTTTTAAATTAAACCCATTAATGAGAAGGAGCATTATGGAAAAGAATAAGAAATAGTTTCTATAAAATAACCATTTAAAAAAATAAATAAAAACCAAGCATCTTGCGTGTAGCAAGAACCAAAAAAAAAAAGGGGGGCAGGTTATTTCCAGGAAAAAATTTTTTTAGAAAGACTTAAAGTTTGAAATGAATTTACTTATACTGAGTATCAAAATTACAAATTTTTAAATTTCACACATTTATCACAATTATTGATTCTGACAGCATAATTAGTCTTTGAAAATACTTAAGCAATATTCACATAACACAAAGAGCATTTTACTTATAATGCACACCTATCTTGCCTCAAAATCACTGCCCGATATTTTGTTGTCCAAATTATCAGATTCAGGATAAAGATATGTTCTACTGACTTTTTCCTGTTTACATCGTTTAGTGTGAGATCGGGCATTCAAGTGAAAAATGTCTATACTACATTCTGGTTCATCAAGTTGTAAACACGTTTTGTTATCTTGGATAGATTCCAGAAATGGTTTGGAGACTGCACATGCAGGAACTGTCATCAAGGAGGGACTGCAATTCATATCATCTTTGGCAGTAATTTCAATAGAAATATCCTGCATGCTGCGAGGAATTTTGTAAGCTCTGTTTGATAAGGCATTCGATTCAGAATAACTACTTGTTGAAGGAAAATTATGTATGACACTCTCATCCTTGGGAATTGTTCCTCCTTGGAATACAGAGGGACAGCAAGATCTATGAGTAGAAGTGCAACTGTTGCAAAAGCTGATTGATCGAGTGACACACTTTCCTTCATGAGACTGCTTGAAAGTAGAAATCTCTCTACTCGAATTTGGATGCCTAGAAAAAGCATTCACTCCTTGATTGAAGTTACTGTAGAGCTTTCTACGATGTTTGTTTTCACTGCACAAGAACACTTCAGTGTCTGAACTACTCTCGGAGGGTTTTACCAGACTGTCCGCAGATGGACTTTCATCAATATAACTCACACAACATTCTTTGAGCTCACTGAAATGAACATGACTTGGCAAAAAATGGCTTTCACAATGAAGGGAAATAGAATCCGAATTTTTTGAAGTATCTATTTCTGGATCTTCCGGGACAGTACTGCTACGATGTCGCTTCTTGCAGCTTTTGGATAATTTTAAGCGCAAGGCTGGATATAATACGCAGTCACCACATGAAGGATGTGGAATGACTGATGAATCAACTTTTTCTGCTGGAGCAGCAGCCAACTGAAAGTATTCTTGCAGGCTAGAATTAGCTCCATCTATTTGTTCCCGAGAAATAGAATCTAATGCGGCTTCAGGGTTTTGGGCATCAACATGAACTTCCACAGGAGTCACAGCAGAGCTATCTCTAATCAAAAAATAATAATAAAAAAAGGTTAGAAGACAAAATTATAAAATTTACTGAAAATAGCATTCAGATTGTTTTTATATTAAATTATAATGTTTATTCCTGCTTCACTCCATTAACATTAAATGACTATACAATCAAGCAATTATTATTATTTTGTATTCTCATGACATCAGTTAATGAGTAAAATATTATCATATATAACATTGCCTTTCGTTTTCATATACTACCTTTTAAAGATATGTAGTAAGGATCTTGCAAGATAGCATCAGAGAAAAAAATTCTACAACTGACATAAAGTTAATTCGTTTGTCTATTAAGGCATTTTATTTAGTAAAAAATTATACTGCTTAACATACAAGTTTTTAAAATTTATAGAAAGAAAGAAAATAATTACTGTGAAGATATACCATAACTAAATGTTCAATACAATGATCAAAATAATGTACCCATGTAAAAACACTTTTTACGCAAAGAAAAGCATTAAGAATTATTTTGTTTACAATTTATTTATCTGACAAACATGCAAACAGCTGTTAGATATAGTAATTCTTATGTTAAAGTTCCCTAATGTCTGAAGATTAAATCCTCTGAACGCAATGGCCGGCTTTATCTGGTCATGAGATTTTTTATCACATGGCTTATTAGCTTAAAATTTATGATATTTTGCTTTCTTACTTTCTTTAATAATATAAATGTCATCTTTATAAATGTAGGTTTATGAAAATAGAGCCTAAGTAAGTAAATATACAAATTTAGCTAATTAAGGCTCTTAAAATCTTCATGACAGATCCAAAAACCCAAGCCACTCAGAGGGTTAAGACAAAAAAATTTTAAAGTTTAGTTGAAAGATATCTGATTTAAGAATAAAATTTCTGACAGGGGAAGTAAAAAAAGTGCAAAAGTTATTTTCAGCAATCACCTATAAAGCAATATTAAATATAAATTTAAAAATATTCTGAATTTATTTATTAATTACGGCTTTGATATACAATGATTCTAGGTTCCAATAATGTTTGATTTAATACAGAACACAATTTCAAAAAAAAAAAAAAAAAAAAAATTAATTCAAATAAACTAAATACTGAGATGATGGCAAAAATTCTCAAGCATAATGTGGATGATAATACATTATTATATTTTTCACTTAAGAGGAATTCTTGTAGTAACCTGGCCCATTCCAAACAAGCAGGAGAGTTATAAAAACAACATAGCACAATAACAGTGCAATACAATAACAGCATTCTAATTACACTTGCCACGAATAGCAAACATATGTCTGAAAATAATTATAAGACACAGACTTTTAGAGCTTTCTCTTAAAAAAAAAAGTAGATGGAGAACATTAAAAACTGTTGCAGAAATGCCATGAAAACAATCTGAAAGTACTGGAACAACTCCCTTAGATTTTGAAAGCAATAAAATTTGACAAAAAAATTATTGACCAATAATAATCTTAATCACTGTTTACAGCATATATTTCACGTAAAAATTACAGAACTTTAATAGTTGACTTGTCTAGAACAGATTACATTTAATATAAAAAATTTACATAAAACCTATTAATTAAGATCAATGATCTACTCAGAACATATATAAATTTTCATTAGGGAAGTCAATTCTAGCTTTAACTTAAGCTACAAAATATTTAATTCAACTTTCATACCGGTATCCCAAGATGGAGCCAGCTAAGGCTTTTGTGCTAGCATCATCAGCAAGAGACATATTTGTAGAGCGTTCACTAAGACTGACAGTTGCAGATGCAGTTTCACTGTGACTGCTTAAACTAAAACGCTTATTTGATGAGACATCAGCTTGTACTTCTAATCTGAAAGGGAGGAAAATTTAATTAATATAATCAGTTCCCTTAATTTACATTCACTAAAAATTGAACATTTAAGAATTTTCTAAGTTAAAAACAGCGAAGTTTAAAATTCGAAGGGCATGCTAATACCTTTTCATGCATGACTTGATATTTTCCATGCCAGATCAAGCCACTACTACATGTAGAATAATTTATTTTTTATATAATCTTATTCAGATTGTTGGTCATTAAAGCCTTTGATCCATTCAGAATTTCTACAATTTTATTTTGTTTTCTAAATAAAATGTTAAGTGATATACGATATTGAGGTATTTTATATATACTGTGAATCTTGCCATGTAAGCATACTTTTCTACAATTTTTTATTCCATAAAAATCAAAGGCTCCATTCAAGATTAAAAATACATTCATTTTAAATTTCTTAGTTCTTTTTAATTATTTTTTATTTATCACTTTCGTTTTTTGTGATGTTTTTATGATAATTTCTCATTACTAGTAACAATTTTGAAGCCCAGTGGTGCAGTGGTTAGCGCATCGGACAGCAGCACCAAGGTCCGGGGTTCAATTCCCGGACTGAGCAAGGTTGACTCAGCCTTTCACCCTTTGATTTCGATCACTTGAGTCAATAAAATGAGTACCAAGTTCGTTTGGGGACTAACACTGGGGGGCCTGCGACAAGCTGACCACTTGTTCAGGGCATATGCTTATGAAACCCAGAGCTCACGGTCAAGAAAGCAGATTTCGGGCACTGCAGGACTTGTACCATTACGGCTGTTACGCCACTGAGTTTTAGTTTTAGAGTTTAGTAACAATTTTAGTCTGTTATTCATAATAATAACTTCAAGAAAATTCCACATTTTCAATATATTCTACTTCTCTACATAAATCAAAAAAAGACCTGATCAATAAACATATTTATTAGCTATTATAAGAAATGCAATGAAATAACTGAGCTAGATAAACGTGTTGGTGAAATAAATACTAAAAATAAGTACAGCATTGAACTACAGATCTGGTATCAACCCAGTAAACATCAGTCAAAAGACTCTGAGAATATGTGCTCCTAGATATGTTGAGTAACAATTTTTATTTATATATGCATGCTTCTATACACTGCTTAAGCATGAATCTCCGAGTTCAGAAATATAGAAATAACATTCTCACCTTTAACACAGATGCAATAATTAAAATATGCATGCACACCATGAAAGAGCTCACACAAAGAATGAGGAAGGTCTACAACCTTGAACTCAGATTGATTTTAAGAAAAATATAGCTGATTCTATAAATTTAAAGAGGATGATAACAGAATCAGCAGCTAAATCCCTATAAACAACCCAGGAAATTTTATTTAAGCATAAAAGTTTTGACTGTCAAAAGTGAATCGTTTACAAAAATTCGGTGGTATCTTGAAATTTCAGAAAGGTCACGAAATAGTACTATATTGTGAAACACAGTTATATTTACAGTTTTTTAACCATCAGTTTCTGGAGTTTATTTCATTTTTTTAGCATTATGTACAGCACGAGCAGAACTGTTTACAGTTTTTTGTCTATAACTTGCATACTGATATAATTTATAAGATAAACATATATCATTTGTATAGCCCAAACTGCAGCATAAAGCGCCTTCCTACGATAAAACAATTGCAGAACTTTACAGAAGTCTCACAGCTTTTTTCAAACATTAAAATATTTCCTTGCTATTATGCTCCCTTTCCTTATTAAGCTAGTGACAAAAAGAATATACAGTATTTTTCAATTCTAAAAGATTAATTCAAGTGTCTTCAATTTCAGTATCACCAAGACTGGGGAAGAAGAAAGAGACTGATTCTAAACAATCAAACAGATGAAATTAGTATCTTCAAATGCATAGAACAAATATTTTTTTAGCAATCAGCTTCAATATTTTAGCAATAGCATATTTATTTAAATTATTTTGGTAAATTAATTGCATAGGAATAATTAACATTATTGAAAAATCTGTGATTTTAAAACACAGACAATTCTTAAAGGCATAACTGTTTTTATCAATGTTTATTCAGGAAAAATATCAAAGAAATGCATTATTTCTTCTTGCATGAACTGTCGAACAAGTGACCAAGTGGAACAAACCATGATGGAAAATACATATATTGCTAACAATAAATAAAATATACTAAATGAAATTCATGCATGAATCGAGACAAACAGATACGAGCAGAATCTTTATTTGCTTGCTTTTATTTATGCAAATTAAGAATCTACTTCTTTATGATTTTACACTTTCATTCCATGAACATATCACTGGCAGACTTAAATAACAGAGCTTTACTAAATATCATAAAATTTTATACATTACTATTTGTTTACATACAGCATTTATGCAGCTAATTATCAGCACGAATTTTTTAATAAGTAGATTCTTTAAGAACAAAGTTATGTTGGAAAATCCCCTCATAAGCTCTAGAGAGAGCAACTACGGTATCCAACATAAATTCAGCATATACAGTACAAAGTCCATAATCCGGGTGTCTATTATCCGGCATGATCTATATTACGGACCTCAAAGCCACAAACCTTTTTTTTTTTTTTTTTTTTTTTGGTATGCTTTAACACTTGGGCATCTGGAAGTCCAAATTTGAAATTTGTTTTATTATCGATTTCATATTTTGTAAAACTTTCCTGAATTTTTTATTAATAAACTCATGGATTTCAAAGCGAGCAATGGCAAAATTGTATGGAAAAAACATTTTCATTTTCAGCGTGTGAGACTGTGTATCGGAAATCCTAAAGATACGCTCAATTTAAAAATATTTTGCAATATTGCTCTTGAACTGAATTTTATAGTTTAAGTGCAAAGAAGATGATATTTAATAAATATAGGTAACACACAAAATGTTAAAAAAAAAAAAAAAAAAAAAAAAAAAAAAAAAAAAAAAAACCTCTTTGGATGTAATTTAAAATCTCAACCTTTGCAATTTTTTTTTTTTTTTTTTTTTTTTTTTTTTTTTTTTTTTTTTATTATTATTATTTTCTTTCTTGCTTGCTGACATCTACAAGAAACTCCTAATTGGTAAACTGAGTTAGTTTACTTTCCAGCTATGAGATAACTCATTAGTGATCACTTTAACAAACAGACTGCAGACTGAAAACTTGTTCCGCTACTCTTGTACAATTAATAGAAAATAATGTATCACAAGTACAGTTTTGTGTTAATGTGTACAGCAGGTGAGTATTGTTTATCTAGTTCCGAGTTATTTTGTAAATGGCGCAGGCAGAAAAATATTATTTTATATACTAAAAACAAGAATATTCATGCAAATTTACTTATGCTAAAAGTAATCTCTTATATCTATATTTAATGAATTAAACAACATAAAATGGTTTAAAAGTATAAAAATGCTTGGCATGTGTGACCGGATACATCACATCAGGTTACTGGAGGAGTTAAAGCAGCTTATCAGCTTTGGCAGCAAACATGTTAACACTGTTATCAAAAATCATTTTCTTCACACTTACAACACATAAAATTTAACAGCAAAATTAGAAAAATTTTTAAAAACAGCATATCTTTTAAAATTTCTAATACAAAGTTAAGTATTGCCACATATTTTTTACACAAAAGATCTATTATTCTTGAACCTCAATTCAGCATTGAATCACTTTCTTACCTGTTTCATTGTTCAAATAATTAGGGGAGTAGATGCCTAAAATAAACTCCTGCTCAACAAATAAGCAAGACAGGCAAAACATGGAATAAAACAAAAGCTATTTAATGGATACACATGAAATAGATCCAAACACCATGCAAAAACACATGCATTAGGGCCATCACATCGTGAATGACCAATGAATAATGTGCATTGCAAACATCATGCTAATAACACGTATGATACCCTCAAGCTAATTTGCATGCTTGACAATGGGGAGGCAAGCTGGCAATAGTGTTGCTGATTGCTTGCTGTGACAGTAGTGTCCTTCCTGTAGTAATGCTTGCTGAAGCTCGTGGAGGGTTCACGGCAGCACACTGCATCCTGCTTTGTGTCCCAACATGTCCCACACATGCCTCTATAGGATTCAGATCCGCTGATCTAGCAAGCCATCGCAGATGTGAAATGATTTCACTCTCCCAATAACTCTCCACTTTATATTGAGCTCTCTGCGGGCAGATTGTCCATAAATATCTCGTTGGTACCCACTGCAGCAATAAAAGGATGCACAAGAGGGCACAGAATTTTGTTATGATATTGGACAGTTGTGAGAGAACCACCAATGTTTTAAATAATCACACAGAGGTTGGTGTGGCCATTCATTGCTATCTTAGCTCATACAAGTATGCCTGTTCTGGATCTTAAATTGAGACTCATCTGTAAAGAGTACATGGCCCCACTGATCTGGTGTCCAACTGTGATGTTCACGGGCCCAATTCAACTGCACTTCTGAAGAGTGACAAAAGAACACAAACCACAGGTCATCGGGCATACAGTCCACCTTCATACAATCGACGTGACACAGTTGGGCAGGATATGAGCCACCCTGCAGCTGCAGAGAGATCAGACACCAGTTGTCATGCTATTAGTGATCTACTATATCTTGCACATACCTACAAGAAACAATTGTCTGTCGTGGTAATACTTCAGTGTCTAAACCCACATCGGTTTTGATCCCTTTGGTAATGTTTCCACAGGCTATTGATGACACTATGATGCACATTCGGCTCTCTCACAGCGGATTATTTCGCACCAGCTTGCAATATCCCAACAGCCCTCTAATGCATTTCATCGTGCAAATGGTGTCTTTGGCTCATGCTTTCTATTTTGCTATCTTAGACTGCATGGAACTATCGCTGCTTGTTAAATGATGCATTGGTCCAGCATGCCCCCTTTTAAGGCATAGTGGTGTGACTGCAGAATTACGTTTTATGAGCATTTTGGTTACCTATTTGCATTTGACGATGCAATCTCTACCTCATGTGTAAACTCCCCTTTTTACATTTGTACCTTTTCCTTTAGTGTTTGTTGCTTATTTTTTTAACACAAGTGTAGCTATTGGTAAAAAAAAAAAAAAAAAAAGAAGAAGAAAAGAAAGGGGGGGGGCAGAAAATTTTTTAAATAAATCCAGCTACTGTTATTTCCATACATTCAGCTGGTAATTAATAAAAGAGATAAAAAAGTGCATCTATTGCTTTTAACTGACCAAGTTTGTTAATCAATAACAGAAAAATTAAACATTTTAGGTTTTGCCAAATGGCAACAAATTGGAAGATAGAAATATTTTATATTGGAATTTTTAGAATTCCCAATAAAGTATTTAAATGTTGCTGTATTTTTTTAATATTCACTATATTATTATTTTAAAAATAATATGTGGCAATAGCATTTGCTGTCGACATCCTTTTATTTGGATTGCCATAATTTTATATATATATATATATATTCGCTGTAATATTTTTCAAAAATAAAATACAGAAATAGGATTTGGTGGCGACATCCTTTTATTTTTGCCATGTATTTTTAATAACCGCTAAATTATTTATTTAAAAACAATGTATGACAATAGCATTTGGAAAATGATATGGACAAAAAAGTGAGGTCTGAAACTCATATCACTTCTATTGCTAAAAACAGCAGTTGTGCATATCAATAACTCCAGCCTTCGATGAATTTTCCCTCAGGAACTTAATATTTATCTATACAAAATGATGATGGAACAGTAGTTTCAAGGATATATTCTCCGGTTCAAGGACCTAACATTTGCTGAACTGTTTCTTGACATCTCATCCATAATGTCCTGCTTTCATCCAATGAAGTACATTTTCATGTTTCTAGATCATATCACAACAAAACCTAAAGAGTACCGGAAATTCTACAGAATTCCATGAATGTCAATTTCATAGTAAAAAAAAAAGGTGACAGTTTGGTAAAGTATAGCACAATCTGAATCACTGGACTTCACTTCTTTGAAAGTAAAACTAAAAGTATAGGCAAAAATACTATCTGTCTTTTGTACCGAGATGCTGCAGACTTTCTTTATCCAAGAACTTCAACAACATGGCATTCAACTAACAAAAATACAGTTCTAAAAATGGTGCATTTCTTTCCATTCTATTTCACATTTACTTCTTGGTTTGGTTTATTTGATTAAGGCAAAGAATGCAACAGCTATCTGCCTAAGGGTAAGGGATGGCTTTGTGGAGGACTTTCTATGGCAAGCTGGTTCATATAGACTTTTAACCTGCGAGCACACGTGGCGGGTATATCATACCCAAGTGCATTTTTCTTTTTGTATATTTCTAGCCCATTATTTCATAAAAGGACGAAACTTGGTGTAGCTGAGTTCAAGATCACATACTTAAATGGGGGAAATTCCTGAGGTGGCAAGTGCAACGGTTTTTTAGGAACAGCATTGTTCGGGCATGTCATACCCGTGAGTGTACTCGCGTTCTCCGTGAGTCACTTCTCACTTCTCTTTTTAAAGTTTTTAGTATAGGTTTTTCTTGAGTTGTAAGCATGGTACCGTATATTCCTTACGATGAAGAGATGAAAAGATTGAGAAATCTCCTTGAAACAGTTTCTTCCTGATGAGGATTCATTTAGTTAAGAAGAGGAAGATGTTGATGGCGAAGAATATAATAGTAATCATGATTCACCCATAGAGAGTAGTGATTCAGATACAGAAACAGAAAATGAAACTCTAGAATGTAGCAATGAGTTTTATCTTGGAAAAAAATGGAGTAAAATGGAAAAAACAAATTTCGGGACTAATGTTAGAATTGGCGCCAAAAATATTATAGCTAAACTCCCAGGAAATACAAAGTATTCTAAAGAACTTCTCAACACCTTTAGATTCCTTGTCATTGTTTATCGATGAAGATATGTTAAAACATGTAGTTGACAATAAAAATATTTATATTTATTCAATACGAGAAAATTTCACTCGTGAACGGGATGAGTACTTTTCTCAAAGCCTTAGGGATGCAGCTAATAGAAAATGTTCAAAATGAACGACGGCGAGCATCTGTGGTTCCTGATTCTGGACAAACACTGACCACCGATGAACATGTTAACAATGAACTGTCTCCCCAAAAACCTAACTTACAAGAGGTGTACAGAGTGCCCCAAGAAGAAGGATAGAAAGACTACTTCACAACTTCATTTGTGAAAATTGTAGCAAAAATATATGTATGGAACATATGACCTCATTTTTAAACAATGTTCAAAAAATTGTAAGTAAATAATTTTTCCTCGCCTTATTGTTTCCTATTTTGTCTAAAATGAAGTATTAACTTGGTTTTACATTTAATTTCTTTTAAAAAAAAAACGGTGAATTTTTTTGACAAATTTTTAATTAAAATTTTTTTATTCGGGTATGACATACCCGGCGCTTGTTCTCGTGTTCGTCGGATCGGTGCGTGTGCTCGCGGGTTAATAACAGAGATAACACTGAAAAACGATCATGTTGCCAGTCCATTCACCTGGAATTTTACTCAGGTCAAACTACTGATGTTCAACACCTTTAAAACTGAGACACTAGTGGGCCAAATAAATAAAGGTGCAATACAGCACGAACATTCATAGCAATAATGCTTAATTGTTTCCTGGTCACATTTTTCTAGGGTGATATTAACTGTGAAATAAGACATGAAGCTTAAGTGTTTTCTTATAAGCCCCATAACAAAGAGGAACACAGTGCATAAAGCATTTACAAGAAGTTCAAAACGATCAGATTTAAAATAAGTAAATGAACTGTTAAAAAAGGGGAATCTAGAAGTTTTAATGTCACACCAGAGAATTTGTTAAGGCTTTTTATGCTGCTGTAAAATTATCTTCAGGGAACTGCATATGTGCTGCCAGATACAGTATAACAGGGAACCAGGATAAGATGACGAAATAGTATAATGGAGGTTGTAATTAACATGGTATGCTCTTCAAAGCATAAAATATGTAACAAAATGGCATATTACAGAAAAATAAATCAGTAGCAGGGCTTAATTTCTAAAATTAGAAGTGCCAGAGCCCTATGGAAGACCGTCAGAACAAACGCAAAGAAATAAATAAAATGACTATTAAAATCATTAATTTTAAAATTAAACAGTTAATTATTATAAATTATTTAATTAATTATTATTATTAAAATAGTTAGATAATGAAAGATTAAAGTAATTAAATAATTAAAATGTAAATGTAAATAGATATATTACTAAAATTTAATAAGCGATTTATAATATAATTTTATTGCAAAAAATACAATTTTCGAGATCAAATTTCTACTGAAATTGTTGTTCAGTTACATAAATGAAGGCCCGGAGCTTTCTGTTTTAGGATTTTGGTCCGCTCTGGCTAGAATTACGATTTATCCCCGAAACTAAGAAGTACTGGAGCCGAACTCTGGTAGGCTTCGGCGCAATTTAAGCTCTGCTCAGTAGTGATTTCATCCATATCTGGCACAATTTAAGCTCTGCTTGGTAGTGATTTCATACATTCCCTCATACTTTACATTCTATATTTCAGAAAATAACAAATAATATTAGTTTATTTAGCTACATATCTTATTCAAAATTTTCATTTTGAGAACAATATTTGTTATTTGCTGATAAAGTCTTTCCTTTTATCAGTCCCAGCAAAAACAACTGCATTTTCCTCCATTCTATCCCCATTTCGTTAAAATCCTGCACTTATAATCCATAATATTTTAATATTATGTAATTTATTATTATGGCTAGTAAATCCCCCCAAAAATCATAAATTGTAACATGCAACAATTCAGAACAGTAAGATGCAAAATGAACTGTCTGAATTTGCTCAATGTGAACAAAAAGAAAAAAGTAACTTAAAAAAATTTACATACTTGCCAGCTCCAGCCATTAATGAGGCACTCGCAATACTTCCCGCAAGAGCTACATTGCTCGCACTTTCTCGATCACTTTCCCTATCACGGTTCAGAGCTATGCGATCTAAATGACTTCCACTACCTAAACTTAAACTAGTAGACATTCCGAGTGACACTTCTCCAATACTAGGGTTCCCAACTCTTTGACTTCCATTCGTATCCACACTTGCTCCATCTGCTTTAAAAACAATATATTCATGAAAATTGCAGCAATGACAAATGGCATCACAATACCATACAGAAACCATCAATTAATTTTACAGATATATGAATTAAGAGTTCTGTTTTAAGAAACAGGTTTGGAAAACATACTTTTTTATTTATACACATTCAGGAAAAAAAAACTACTTTGAAAAATTTGTACCAATACAATAAAATTATATAAAATTCTGTATTTTTTAAGTATATATAAAGAAACAGAATGGCGTAATAAAAATTAAGAAACATTAGGAATTTAAGGAGCTCTGCAAACACAAAATACAGGATAATTTTAAAATATCATGACCGATTTCAAAAACCTTTTGTTCGAAGATTCAAAATTGTTTTTAACGCTCTTTAGACAGGACTGGCTTTTTGTTGGCCAAAAATAATTTTTGCCATGTTGGTGGCAGAAACTAGTTATAATCAATTAAAATTGCTAAAAAACAGGAATATTTGGCAGAAATTAATAAAAGCATTTAAAACATCATATCATTATTAATATTAATTAAAAAATGTTTTATATGTTTCAAGTTAGTCTTATTTTATTAAAATTATTCTAAGAATTTTAACAGTTACTAAGACTATTGACACTATACTGTGAATGTACTAAAATTCTAAAAATACATGGTCAAAGAAAAAAATTGCATCTTGTTATACAAAAATTGATAATACGGAAATAATACAGAGAGAATACACATCTAAAGCTTTTGCAATAGATATAATAAGCATAATATATAACTCACAGAAAGGAAGGTTTATGAAAAGAGCCCTTTGATTCTAATTACTTAAGGAATCAACATTTTTTGGACTTGTCTCTTTTTGAGCTTTTTGTTAAGAAGCATATGCTATCTGTTTAGAAATATTTCAGAAATCATCACAGACAAGCTTCTTCACTTAAGGAATATCTAAATTTCGTAAAACTACAATTAGCCAGCAATACAAAATGGAACAATGTAATACATTGTTTAGAATTATTTGCACGAAATTGTCCGTAATTATTTGCACACGAAATCACATTACATATAAATACTTCAAATCATGTAAATGATAAAACAGTAGTTGAAGCCACAAAAAGAAAATGCTTACTGCTGATGTTAAAACTATTACTACAGCAATAAAACTCAAAAAGCTAATAATTATACCACAAATGTTTGTAAAATACAGTTGGCACTCATTGCTGATGATAATTTTATGGAAATTTAACAGAAACATGCTAAAAATAGATTCAATGAGGCAATAATCCAAACCAAACCATCTGTTTATTATTTGCATTAAACAAAATACATAAGACTGAATTCCCTAATGAGCTGTAGAAATGACATTATATCATGCCATAAACAGACATTTTATGCCTTACATCAGAGGCTTTTCAAGCAAATATATTTTTTTATGAACTCAACTTGTTTATTTTAAAATACACTGTAATACTTTGATCACCTTATAGTTATTTAACAGTTAATCTTATGGCAGAAACTAGTAATTACTACACTGGTTTTGGCAAAAGTGTTGATGAAGTAAAGATGAAGCTCAATGTGTGTAAGATATAAAATACAATAGCTGCTTTAAAAAATAATCGGCAACCTCAAAATTAACATTCTAGATTTGGTGGCCTCCCACTAAATTCATATTCATCCTTTTTCCCAAATTTGAGAATCTTCCATGATTATATAACAACCTTAAATTAACCAACCACAGCTTAGAGTACTTTCTGCATGTACTTTGTATAAATACTGCTCGGAAATAAACTGCATTATTCTTTTCCTAGCTTCTACCTTGCTAATATCTTCTCTTTTTGCTTCCCTGTCTAAACTGCCTGCGCCTTAATTTTAAGAATCAATGTACAGAGAAATTTATCATTATGATAAAATTATAGAAATGTCTTGGACTTCATTATGATCGGATGAACATCTATGAAGATGATTTTATAAGCATGGAAATACAAATTGGAAATTCGTCAAGTTCATGTTTTGTTGTCATTTCCACGATGACCACTGCAAGCCGATTTCTCTTCTGTGCTTTGGCATTTCTTTTCAATTTTTTTGCCTAATATGTCAATCTTAGTTCTGATAATGATGCTTCTCAAAAACTGCAAAAGCCTGGAGTTGTTATTGTTTAATGTATCTTTCAGGTATCAATATGGAGATGGAAGAAGGGGAAGACAACTTTGTTAAGTTAATCATCATGACACTGCTGCAGGTAATTTTTATAAATCGTTTAAAATAAACATGTCTCCCCTAAATGTATAGGATTGTAGTTCTCCAATTTTGGAAAGCAGTAATTTCAAACTCATTAAGCTACTTGTAAACTAAATTTAAGATTTTTTATCTACCATGTCATTGCTGAAGTGACTTTTATTGAACAGCATACAATAGAATATGCTGAACTTTTCACGCACATGGAAGGTCATCATTTTCTTAACTTTTGCTTACAAAAACACTAAAAGGATTTTTTATTATAAATTTAACTGGTTCAGTAACCCCTTAATTCTTCCTCTTTATTCTAAAATATTAATGCCCTTTTTCTGGACTGCATCATTTCTAGATCAATCCATCTCATACGACTTGCACAACGCTGATGACGTTACTAATGCGGAACCTAAATCAAAACATTGATGCAATTAATTTGATATATCTAAATTATTCCATACTTTGAGAATCTAAAAGACATTTTGCATCTTGATCTGTTTTGGATTGATGAACTAACATTATAATAGGCATCAGTTATCACTCAGTACAAGCCGTTTCAATCGATGGGGACCTGGCTATACTCTGGACTGCACCCAAATCTCTGCCACCTTGACCCAACACGTTCAGGATTTTATGGCTGAACACAAAATTTTACAAACAAGTTCTGTAACTCTCCTAGTGTTACTTATGACAACATCTAATTGTTTACTACATGAAAGATGCCACTAAAGAATTCAAAACTGATAACATGAAAGTGATAACATTTAAACTGACTTTATGCTTCCAGGAATGGGAAAAAATTGCACTAAACATATAGTATTTCTAAATTTTAAACCTATTTAATCCAATAAGTGTACTGACTTATTATTTCAGTTATGTCAGATACTTTTCAATCAGATCTCGTATACTGTTGTAAATAAATAATATTAACTGTTTTCAAAGAAATCTGTTATTATTCATAGATGTTGCAATAACTGCATACAAAATGCAATTAATCTAAGTTGCCACCATATATTAAAGAATGGAAAAGTAATAAACTATGCTTATGCCTATACTGCATGTTAATTTAAATCTGAAAGATTGTACACATTACCACAAACACCCAAATAACTCACTAATGAAAATGAAGTTAGCATGTACATTTGTAATGTTAAGTTTGTAACAGTAATAATTAAGCATTACTGTCGTAAGCAAATTTCTGGGTAAAAATATTTCTGAATATACATATAATGTACAAGGATACACGACTAAATTATGAAACAACACAAATAAAAAAAGTTTCCATGCAGAGGTCATACAGAGGTTATCTAACAAATACCTTTTATAAACTGTAATGGCATTGTAAATGTTCATAATCATAAATCTGTTATATTTGAAACTATTATTAAATATGTGCATACACCTTATTAGAAAATAATATGGATATTTTAATTATTAAGAAGTACAATTATTACTTTAAAATCATGTAGTCTATTAAGCCATTATAGAAAAAGGTGATTAAAAGATCTGCTCTGTTTAATATTCTTAAACACTGGCTCTCTGCAAGGACATGAGGAAGATATAGTTTACATAGTAGCAGCTTTAAATTACATACATGATAAAATAACACTAATATAATGTCATAAAAATTTTGGAAAAGACTTTAAAAATGCTTCTAACATTAAGCTTTTACACAAAATACCATGATGCTATGACATTTAACAGGAAGTTACTTATAATATCTTTTTAACGGCAATTTTCAAATACAAAGGTGTCTGAAAAATATGTATTTTTACATAATACTCTATTTCATTCCAAATCTCACATTAAAGTGCCAATTTGCAATGTCCACTTCAATACAAAAAACAACAGCTACTGTTTCAAGCATCAATTTAATGAGATAAATAAGAACAGTTGGGTAATAACCAGTAACTAGCTAATCTCAACAGATCCCCCAGTTCTTATATATTTCAGGAGAAGCACTTAATAATTGTCAAAGACTGTTCTACTAGGATAATGGGCTTTTAAACTTCCCAATGACAACATTTTTCATAAGACATACATCTCTCTCTGCCTTTATCTGTAATATCAAATCATCCAGATGCAGCAATTCCTAAGGTAAGAAGGTGATTCGTTTACAATATATGAAAAATTTTGATTTAACAGATATGGTAATGTTTTTCAGTCACTACACAGTTCGACACCAATGATCTAGTGCACATTTCATGCACACAGTCATCAACGCAGTCAAATCAGCACTAGGGCCTAATGAAGCTAACCTGTCTAGAAGATGATTCAATAATTCTGAATCGTCAGATATGGCAAAATTTTTCAGTGATTTCTCAATTCAACACTGATTACCTTGCATTCATTCATGTACTGTCATCAGTGAAGCAACATTAGTATTAGGCTCCAAATGGGTGACGGCTGCATAAACCTCATGTACAAAACACATAGTTGCCAACCTTAAAATATGAACCTTAAAAAAACCTGAAAAAAAAACTTAAAACCTGAAAACTGGAAGTTTATGTAAAAATTCCATAAAAACAAAAGTACTCCAAATTGTACTGCATTATAAAACAACTTAAATTCCCTTTATAATGCATGATTCAAAATATTGAACCACTTATAATATGACTGATATAAAATTAAAACTGAACAAGATATTTAAAATTTTATGTTCTTTGGCTAATTTCAATAACAATTTTCTTGTAAATTTATGCTGAGAAAAATTCCTAGAAGAGAAGAAAAGTTTTTATTTATTAAAGTATTTTTTAAAATGTTAATAATAAATAATTAAGGTGACTATGGTAAACTTAAATTCACCATATATTGATGTAAAACAAAGTTAAATTTAACTACTAATAGAAATATTAAATGAATCTGCCTAAAAAGTTCTACAGATGTACACAAATGAGATCAATTCAAATCAAATAAAATTTAATAAAAAATAATTGTGCTGAAAATTTATTAGAGGTGGGGGAATGGAATTTATTAGAGGTGGAGGAATGGAATTTAGTTTCACTTATTGAAATGAAACATTTTCCTCAGAAGTTTTCCACAAGCTAAAAATTAAAAACTAGGATAAGTGGTAGCTATTAGAAGGGTTCAGAGACATGTGTGATGAGACAGTCTGTTGTTCACTACTGTTGCAACTGAGGCAACTTTGTTAGACTGTAGCCTGTGTTAATGCACAGTTTATCTCTAGTAGCTTCCTGCATAAGTGAGTTAGTTGCATTCGATATCAGCTAAGCAATAGTTTATCATATGCACATTTTTGCATCACTCATAACATGTATTCCCAAAGCAGCATAATAGCAATTCCCAAATCATGGTGTTTTAGAGATACTGCCTCTGAGGTTGCATATGTACTAATTTATGATTTTTATGCATGTAAATTTAAGTTTTCAGGCTGAAATTTGTAATAATATTTTGCGATAATGTCTTCAATGAATAACATGAAAATGGAAAATTTCATGCAATCATCAATACTTTATTTTCATTAACAACATTTATTAGACATGTCCAGATGTTATTTGTAAGAATGTGAAGACATAAAAACTGCTATTTTATTATAAAGTTTCAGTTATAACAGATTTCAAGTCTTACAATAATAAATATTGAATCATCTAGAAAATTCTGCAGATTTTTTATAACAAATACAAAGGAAGCAGGGGGGGGGAATTTCACTGAATCACATAAGCACCATTTTGTTCCTAAGTTCTGCCATTTCTCTAGCATGTGTTAAAGTTTTTTTTTTTTTTTTTTTTTTTTTTTAATGTTACTAGGTTTATTTGTAACAAATTTAATGTAGTCCTGTCTGAAAGAAGTTGAATAAGTGAACTCCAGGACATTCAGAGAATTTTAAATGAATGAAAATCTGACAGGCTAAGATCTGGTGAATACAGAAAATGACTCTAAACATCTCAGTCATACTCAAAAAGTCTCAATCTAACATTCATTCAAATGTGGAGCCAAGCATCATCATGATGGACAACAAAACCTCGATCATTGGTCAGTTTTTAGCGCTTTGCTTCAATTTTATTTGCTTCAATTCTTACCTTTAAAACTGCATTTGGCAAAGTACTTTTCTGAATTTATTGTCTAATTTGGTGGCAATAATTCTTTTGTAGTCACATTATCCACAAACTTTTGGGAGATAAGTCTCAGTGTAACATTCATAGAAAATGGAGGCAAGCATCATCATGATGGAAGACAAAACCTTGATAACTGGTCAGTTTTTGAGTGCTTTGCTTCAGTTTTTGCTTATATGACAAAAGTACTTTTTTGAATTTATTGCTGATTTGGTGGTAACAATTCCTAGGTAATTCCAATCATTCTCAAACTTTTAGGGGATGCAGCCCTCCCCCTCGATGTTACTAAAGAAGTTTCTTTAGCTTTATCCCATAATCTTTTCCTTAAAACATTATCACATAGTATCCACTTCTTAAGTAACGAGTCATTTCAAAAAAGTTTCTTTACTTCTTTTCAATACAGAATCACATGCCAAAACTTGAGAAAATTTATTCTGCTCTGTTAAAGCATAATGTACCTACATTACTATTATTATTCTTATTATTCTGAACACTTAGTCTGCCTGACAGTTCCTTAGCTACATAACATGGATTTTCAAAGATAGCTTCTTTTAATTGGTCCTTGTTTACAGAAAATGGTTATTCAGAGGGGACATTGTCTTTGAGGGTGAAATTTCCATTGTTCCATAGGTTCCATCCATAAATCATATTTAATTATTTAGTTGCTTGAATTTAAAATGTATTATCTTTTATTTCGCATAGTAATGTAAATATACATTATATACATATATATTAATACTGAATACATATATAATTTTCCTGGATACACACATACATATATATGGTATCACTTATTAAGATATAATCATAGCCAGATTTAGACTTGATAAGGCCCCAAGCTATTTGAGATATGGGACTCTTTATGAGTCAGTTATAATATATTTTAATACAATTTATACTATATTTTAATTTTTAGAGACCTCCAAGAAAGTGGGGGCCCTAAGCTACACCTTGTGTAGTAGCTTATACGTAAATCCGGCTCTGGATATAATATCAGAATGTACCATCAGTTCTTTAAAAAAAATCATTTCTGTAGCTAAATGAATTGCTTAAAATGTGAAGATACAAATGTGTCCTCATTAAACTAACAATTTATTAAAAGTTTAATCAATACATCATTTTTAACTCCTCCAAAAGCAAATAAGAAATTCCCAATGAATATTTATAAAAATATTTAAAGATACTTTATTATTAATTTAAATAAAAACAAAAAATTTAATAAAACATATTTTAAAATATTTTTATTAGTCAATAACACATTTTATTAAAAATGTATTCACAGTTCAGTAAATCAAGTGGACATTTCAATCATGCAAATAAAATGGAAAATGACCATGTCCCTGGCAAAAATAATATAAAAATTTTACAAAATACTCTGATTTTTATGTACCAAAATTTCCAGCAGATGGATTGTTTCCCATGCCCATTTCATTCTCTTCATCAAATTCAATGCGTACACCAGAAGCAGATGTTGATACACCACAACCTCCTGATCTACACAGAGAAATAGGCACTACTCCATATACATAGGCAAGCAAGATGGGGACACCAATACCTAAAGAAAAAATTATTGCAAAAAAATGTAACAATTTTGATTGAATAAATAATTTTTTCCTACTTATAACAGAATCTTTAGAATTCAAAGCCATATTTTGTGTCACTTCTTTACAAGGTCTGCTACTTTCCAATGCCTTTTTCTTGGGGGAACCACTATACCTGATATGTAATCCCTTCTTTCAATTCATTTTTCATGTTTGGTAAATTTAAAGATACGATTTCATTTATGAATATTTAAAATATATTACACGGTTTCCCCGCTCACTTGAATATACAATTTATACATAATTAATTTCTTTAAATACTAAAGTTTATATGCAACCCAAATGTATTTGCCATTTTGAAATATTAAGAGTATATTTTGATGATTTACATTTTTCAAAAGTGTACAGTTCTTAAAACTGCACTCACATTATGATATTATCATTACAAAATTCAGACAAGTGCAACTTCATTCCCAGGCAACAATATAAATTAAAATTTGAGGTTCAAATTCCAGGGCACAATAGTTCAAATTATTCATCTGCATAACTCTTACACAAGCACAGGCATAACTTCAGACGACCTTACTGATCACAATGAAATAAATTATATCATTTTCAAATAAGGTAAGAAGATCCACATCAGTCCTTCATGCAAGTTTTAACGTTTTAGTTAACCAATAAATACCCTATTATTGTTACTAGCCAACATTTACTTATTGGAAATCTATTAAGCTTTTCTACTGGCATTTACTTAGTCATAGCTGCCAACTTTGATATATGAAGATTGTTCACACATCAAAAACTGGGAGTTTGGGGGAGATTTTTGCAAGGTGCAGCGGCACCATTTTATAAGAGTTCAAAATTGATTAAAATTTTCTTTAAAACACAATTCAATTTATTCAACTATTTATAATGATTCTGGAGTGCAATATATCAATATTTACTTGCATATTCTAAATTATATGTTCTTTCACTAATTTCATTTTGTAAATGCTGAGAAAATACTGAGTAGGCAAGGAAAGCTTACAGCTGTTCCTTCTGTAAGAGACACTTTTATTTAAAGGACAATTCTGTTGGTCCCAGTCCATTTGAACATGGACTTTAACCCTTTGAGAAACCAGCACGTGGAGAATGAAGTGCAGCCACAGGACCGAGCCCTCCGAAATTAAATTCCGCCACCTGCCCACGCATTTTCAGCAGTTAGGCCTACTTTTACAAAAAAAATTCATATAAAATCAGCCTTTTAATATAATGAACTCAATTTTTGAAGTTCCCTATGTAATATACTAATTACCAATATGCATTAATATAAAAAACATCACATTAACAGAAATAAATGAAACGTGTGAAATACTAAAATTATAAGCATGAAAACAAATACCATACACATGAAAACACAAATACAAATACGAAATATAAAAAAAAAGTAAGTAATAATTATCTGTAGATAATTAAATTCCAATTTAATAATTCAGTTGTGTGTGGGCTAATTCAAAACGAGAATTGACACACAGGGCAATGGCGGCTTTTTTTGCCGAGCATATGCCGAACAAGTAAGATGCACCATGCATCGGGAAAGCTGATATCTTTCCTCTTCTTTGATAATGCTGCAAAGTTACTTTTTAATTAACTACAAAAGTCTATGTTAAGTTTTAAAATGAATATAAAAAAAAGGGACAACTGGTATGAGTTTTTCCATCACAGAAGTTGGGCGATATTACACTTGCTATAGTCAGCTAGATATGTTTTCTCACATTCTTCTAATTAAAAAAAAAAAAAAAGTTTTAGATTTTAAATTATGTCCAAAGTGGTGTTTTTTTAACGCTTTGTGTGTTACCTTTATTTATTAAATATCATGTTCTTCACACTTAAACAGGGTTCGTACACATTTCTGCACACGCAAATTAAGTACTTTTAAGGACCATTAATGAAAAAAATTAAGGACCTATGAGCAAATGAGAACTGAATAAATTCAATTAAAAATATTATTCTATGCCTGAATTTCACTTTTGTAATACTATCCAAAAAATGAAATAGATCCCTAAGTAGTATGAATTATTACTAAACATGAATGGACATAATTATTAATAAGTTTGAGAATAAAATAAACTTCATGCAGTTTATCAAGTAGCATTAAATATTTTACACTTATAATAGATTGGGCATATTTGAAAGAAGATAAGTGACATTTACATTTTACTAATAGTTAGCTTTATGTTGATTTTATTTATTTATTTATTTATTTATTATTTTATTTATTTATTTATTTTTATGTGTCTCATTTTGTCACATACTTGGTCAGTCTAGAGCAGAGGTTCTCAACCGGTGGTATGCAAGGAAAAAATAGGTGGTACACAAAGAAGCAAAATATTTTTAACTATTTATTTCAAAAATTAAAACCACAACATCCTGATTGAGTTTTTTTTCTTACACTCGTAAATTTATATGATTTGAGCTTTGTTCAAGAGTAGTGGTGGTAGTAGTACTTTTTAGTGGTGGTACTAAAGGTTTTCAACTTTTGTTTGGATGGTACACGTTAGTCAAAAGATTGAGAACCGCTGCCTAGAGGCTTAGTAAATAGCAGGTAGATTTTATGTCAAAAGGCATAGGTTAAAATGAGAAGTAAGATCATAATCAGTATGATTCATAACAAAAGACTGAATATTATCACCGCTGCTGCTTGTCTAGAGAGAAATCTGATTAGAACACCCTGAAAGGCCTGATGTAAGCATGATTGAGCAAGTGTTGAAAGTTAGTCAGGCTCAGTTTGATGCAACTAGTGTCATAGCTTTGTGCCGAATTCCAGAGGTTGTAACCTAGTTAATATACTTTCAGGTTTCAATAAGCCATTAAAGCACCAGAGGTGATAAGTAGTTTTGTGTTATTTTAAGTCTCACTAGATGCAAAGAATAAGTTTTACTTGAATTTCTACATTTTTGTGTTTTATCTTGTGACCACAGTGAGTATTAATGAAAGGCAATAACTTGCTTTAATACATAGAGATAATTTTTAAGGGTAAGCAGTTAGTTATAAATAATTAACTTAGGTAAATAGGTAACCTTAGTCATTATGGATTTACATGGTTACTATTAAATTTTAATTTTTAACAATATTTGTTAAAAAAAGCCCTATTAAAATCTAATAAAATTTCACAGTTTAAAATATATGTAATTTATAACACTGATTCTTAAACGATATTAGAATAATTACACATTAAAAGCTACAAAACATGTTTTGTAGCTTTTAATGTTTTGCTTTTTGTAGCATAAAACATTTATGTTTTGTTTTATTATGCTTTATAGCATTATACCTTATTATTTTTAGTGGTGGTACTAAAGGTATTATTTATTTATTTTTTAGATTCAAAATATTGCATAATAAGTTGCCAAAATGAAACTTTACAATATGACAGCAAAAAAATAAAAATGTTTTATTTTAATGTTAGTTTTAAAATATAATTCCAATATATTACCATTATTTTAATGAAATTTATTAATGTTACGATGTTCTAAAAAATCGTCGAAAAATTCTCAGATTTTTGAATTAAAAATTTTCTATAGAAACTGATCTTAAAATCGCCAAAATGTTGACAAGTTGTCAAATTTAGAACAGTTTAATAAAAGAATTTACATTCCCACAGCGAAAATTGTTTAAGAGCTCTTTATTACAAAAAATGAATTTCGAAATGCTTGTTTCACTTCTTGCTTAGAAACTCGATTATCCCATCATTTATATTAGTAACAGAACAAATTATAAGCCATGAACCCATTCAAAAGATAACTATATACGTCAGTGAATCGCCAAAAATATTCCTCCAAAATGCTAATTTACATTAAAAATGGCAGTCGTAAAAACAGACAGAAATTTCACATGATTAAAATTAAGGACCTTCTACTGATTTTGGCCAAAATTAAAAACTTTTAAGGGCCAAAAATTGATTCCAAAAAATTTAAGGACTCTTAAGGACCGTACAAACCCTGTTAAACCATAAAATTCAGTTCCACAGCAATATCGCAAAATAATTTTAAAATTAGCATATTTTTAGAATTTCCGACATACAGTTCCACGAGATGGAGATCCACCACCGCCGGTATCCCTTTAACTTAAAGAGCTGTGATTCCCAGTTTGTTTACACCAATAAATCTATCAAAACCAGAAGAACAGAACAGAAACTGATGCTCATACATGAAGATCAAAAGCCACATGACTTAACCGATATGAAAAACCGTTACCATTTAGCACCATCTACTGCATATAGAAACTGAAATAAATCATTACGTTTTCAAGTTATGTATAAAAGCCGCTGAGCTGACGCTGTCCAGTTGTGCTGTCCTGAACGGGTTAATGCATTCACCTACTGTTGAACCTAGTCTGTTTGAATAGGAACCTTAATGTATTCGCCTCTGATTAAAGGGCACTGAAGAAAAGTTTAAAAAATAAGACATGTATAGAAATCAGAAATCTTTGTTATAATCTTTAAAGGTTCCAAAGGCAAATTTGTGCTCAATGAAAGAGTTTTATGACAAGGGAGCAATAAAATGAAATGTTGATCCCTCTCTTTTGAAAAGTGCTTTTCAGTACAGAAAAGGGGAGCAATAAAGCAAACTATGGTGGAATCAAAAAGATATTCCACATATACAGAAGTCAAAATCCAGTTATTCTTGCTACATTTCTCAGTAAGGGAGAGAAAACAGTGTTAGCAAGTTGTAAGGCCAACAGAGACCACTGGGAAAGAAAAGGTGAGGTGACTACCTTACCTGCCAAGCCACAGGGATGAGTGAAAACTTACATCATTCTTAGTTCTTGTTAGACTAGGCAGCAAAAGAAAAGCAGTTTTGTAACTTTTACATATATTATCTAGCATGGCTTCAGAGAGGAAAAGATTAACATTAAAATAAAGTAAGTTGATGTAATTTATGTAGCAGAAACTGAGAAGCTTAGTTTAAAAGATTTAGAGCAGAAATCTGTAAAAAGCAAGCCAGTTGTGCTATAGGATAGAGAAGAAATAAAAATA